TAGAATTATACTGAGGTACGTCGCTGAGATAGCATTATACTGAGGTACGTCGCTGAGATAGAATTATACTGAGGTACATCACTGAGATAGAATTATACTGAGGTACGTCGCTGAGATATAATAGGAACAGTTACTTCAGCAATGATATTCAATAAAGGAAACATGATTTAAAGGAAAAATTCAAAAGGAAACATTTGTTCATTATTGGATAGTTAATATCATATTGAATAAATTAATTACTTAAGTGGTTGTTTGAAGTAAGTCATTTATAGAAAAATTTGAAAGTAAGCAATAAAGTCATTGTTAGAAATCTGTCATAAAACACATTGTTGGATTGGGAACATCATTGAAATTAGGGGGCTGGGAAAGGGGCTGGGAGCAGGGATGGGGGCAGGGATGGGGGCCGGGACAGGGGCAGGGAAATCAACAATAAGATCATATAGTTGGAATGTAAAAACAAAATCAATATGTCTGGCAGTTAATTGACATGAAATTTCATTTTATAACAAATGTTCTTTATTAACGATTGTTAAACAAAACTAAAAAGATTAGAATAAACTTGATCAAATTTTCTGTGAATGTTAAGAGTTTTCATCACAAAATTTGACATCTATTTTTGTTAAATCTGTTTGAACCACATGAAAACCTGTGCATTCTTGTTTGAAATGAAACCAGAGAAATATTTACATAATTGAAATGATAAAGTGTTTGTGATGATCTCAACACAGCATATGATTACCTGTCAATATCTCCCGTCCTCACCTTACCCTGCAGGTGTACGACATAATACAATCAGTGAATATAGAAGTACAGAAAGTTCAATACTTCTTACTGTAAAAGGTAAAACTAATGAAAGGGTCGGCTGATAATCTATTCCCAGCACAATTTGGAATTTACTTTCTGGACAATGCTTTATTCATGTGTATATGATAGTTTTCTTTTGTATTCTAGTGGCAAATTTATTCCTGAATTCAGCAAAAAAACCTGTTTAAATGTTTTTGTAGAAATTTGAGAAACAATAAATTCTAATAGAAATCAGTTATTATCCTCCATATGACATACTTTTACAACATTTCTAGTTTCTGTTCTGAACATGTCCTGTCGTAGACGACAGGGTTGGGTGGGGGTTAAATTGATAAGAAAATGATATGCCAATTGAACTAGTTTTAGAAGTAGGCGCAGGTCTGATTTCTTTTACAAGAGTTTTCAATCTTAAGTGATTACTACCAACATTTTTTCGTACTGTATACTCAGCATGAAGAGTAAGATTCCTGTTAAATCTGTTATTATCTCTATTTTCCTATAAGAATATTTATAAATTCAGTGTGGACCATTCCAGTCCACAGACAGACTTTACAAACAATACCACCCTGACCATTTATTTTGATGGTAAATTTTGAAAATGTTTTCTAGCTCTGACTTTATATTTACTGGCCTGAACATTCACATCCCTGAACATATAACTGTTATAATGACTGGTAGCGCCAGACTGGAGACTGGACACATCCCTGAACATATAACTATTATAATGACTGGTAGCACCGGGCTGGAGACTGGACACATGCCTGAACATATAACTATTATAATGACTGGTAGCCCCGGCCTGGAGCCTGGCCACAGCCCTGAACATATAACTATTATAATGACTGGTACCGTAAGGCTGGAGACTGGACACATCCCTGAACAGATAACTATTATACTGGCTGGTAGCACCGGGCTGGAGACTGGACACATGCCTGAACATATAACTATTATAATGACTGGTAGCCCCGGCCTGGAGCCTGGCCACAGCCCTGAACATATAACTATTATAATGACTGGTAGCCCCGGCCTGGAGCCTGGCCACAGCCCTGAACATATAACTATTATAATGACTGGTAACACCGGTCTGGAGACTGGACACATCCCTGAACATATCACTATTATAATGACTGGTAGCACCGGGCTGGATACTGGACACATCCCTGAACATATAACTATGATAATGACTGGTAGCACCGGGCTGGAGACTGGACACATGCCTGAACATATAACTATTATAATGACTGGCCATGGTAGCACTGGGCTGGAGACTTGACACATCCCTGAACATATAACTATTATAATGACTGGTAGCGCCAGACTGGAGACTGGACACATCCCTGAACATATATAACTATTATAATGACTGGTAACACCGGGCTGGAGACTGGACACATCCCTGAACATATAACTATTATAATGACTGGTAGCACCGGGCTAGAGACTGGACACATCCCTGAACATATAACTACAGTTGTGGGATCGCACAACGCACCAAAAAAAGCGTGCGCACACCGTGCATACATCGTTCACACACCATCCGCACATCGTTTACACATGTTGCGCACAACTGTGCGATTTAGCATTCGTTCGCCCCGTTGTGCGCTTCTCTCCGCACAACTGTGCGATTTGGTATCATTTGTAGATCAAAATTACGGAATGACAAAAATATGGAGGGCTTGTATGCGATAATGTACACTGTGTATATATATCTGTAATTTCTCATCACAATAATCAAGATTATACAATTTCACAATGCGTGTTACACGTATTACAGCGACCGTTAGGCTGTCAAGAATGGGTTTAGCTCCAAGTTAACAGAACAGGTAAATAACAATTTTATGAGTGTCCAGAGTTTTACCTGACCAGAGCCTGACACACAGAGCTGATATGCGATACCGTTTGACCGTAATAAATAGTATTTGTTATTTGCATTCGTTTGCCTATAGTTCCCCTTCACCTGGATTTTCACACCCCCGGCCTTGCCCGACGAGTTACGTAAGTGCCCCAGGCGGGGAGAAAACTACGGTCCAGGTACATGTACAAAAGGGTTAATGTTTACCTGTATACCGGATTGTGTTGTAATTTTACATGTGTCGATTACGTTTGTTAAAAAACACAGAAAACACAATTTCTAAATATAAGAATGTATAGACAGAAAGATAAGTTTATAGATGTTGCTAGAATATAAAAACATACGTAAACATCAAGTTTATATGTTTAAACACGGAACCGTATAAATTGTTAAGGCATTCCTCAATTTACACCAACCACGATTGTTATCGCACAACGTCCGTCCATCGAGCGCACAGATGTGCGCAAGCAATGATCGTTCAGCTTTTTATAGTTCGCCCATCGTGCACACACCGTTCACACACCGTGCACACATCGTGCTTACACCGCACATCGTGTAACGTTGTGCAATCCCACAACTGTATTATAATTAATGACTGGTAGCACCGGGCTGGAGACTGGACACATCCCTGAACATATAACAATTATAATAACTGGTAGCGCCGGGCTGGAGACTGGACGCATCCCTGAACATATAACTATTATAATGACTGGTAGCACTGGGCTGGAGACTGGACACATCCCTGAACATATAACAATTATAATGACTGGTAGCGCCGGGCTGGAGACTGGACACATCCCTGAACATATAACTATTATAATGACTGGTAGCGCCAGGCTGGAGACTGGACACATCCCTGAACATATATAACTATTATAATGACTGGTAGCACCGGGCTGGAGACTGGACACATCCCTGAACATATAACTATTATAATGACTGGTAGCACAGCTAGTTGAAAACTGTCTACAACAGGGCCACAGATCAAATTTCTGTAGATAAACTGTCTATAACAGGATCACAGATCAAATTTCTTTAGATAAACTGTCTACAACAGGATCACAGATCAAATTTCTGTAAAGGATCCATGCTGTTTTGTGAGAAAGGAAATCATAATTACAGTATACATATAATTCTTTGCTAAGTACTACCTGGGCAAACAACTCCAAATAAAAAACAAGTGCAGAACACATTGGAACTCTCCTTTGTTGGAGACACAATTCAGGGTACTGGGTATCTTCACCTTTAATTGTGTGCTGACATCATCAGCTGTTGATGAAATGTACTAATTATATCACATATATACATCTTAAACTCCTTTAGGTCAAGGCAAGAAATCAATTAGGTTTTTGGAATACAAATTACAAACACCAGAATGAAAATTAAAAGCAAAATCATTAGATATTTAGAATATATTTATAATGAAAATAAAAATCAACACAATAGATATTTGAATTAGAGATCATTGTGTAGAAACGATAGGCATAGAAGAGTATTCACGGCCTTAGGAAAATGTTTACTGTTACTGTAATTCATCTGTATAAATAAGTGAGAAGTTAACTACACAGTAAATACATGAAAATCTATATCCTGGGTTGTTATATCAGATACTGGGATCAAATCTATATCCTGGGTGGGATATCAGATACTGGGGTCAAATCTATATCCTGGTTGGTATATCAGATACCGGGATCAAATCTATACCCTGGGTGGTATATCAGATTCTGGGATCAAATCTATACCCTGGGTGGTATATCAGGTACTGGGATCAAATCTAAATCCTGGGTTGTTATATCAGCGACTGGGATCAAATCTAAATCCTGGGTTGTTATATCGGATACTGGGATCAAATCTATATCCTGGGTGGTACGTATATCAGATACTGGGATCAAATTTATCTAAATACATTAGGCTGTCAAAGTGATAAATAAGGGTTAAGAAAAGTTCATTTCAATTTTAAATAATCCTTTTCCTGCATACTTGTAGGATCATCATATTTTTGTTTCCATTTCCTATAAGATTTATTTAACCTTTTTCAATTGTTTTCATTGTAACATCCCAGATGCTGGCTAATAGATAACATAATAAAGGACTTGTTTTGTAAATCTCATACAAAATGGGAAGATTCTCGCGATCGCTCTGTCCCTGAATGGAGTGTGATATATGAAAGAACGGAAGTATCTACAGGATTTCTGGACGCCAGCTTCTCAGAAGTACATGTATATATACTGATACTGAAATACAATATTCTCCTCCACTGATCATCAGGCGGTAGGATTGGGCTAGTGTTTTACCAGGCTGACATATTGTGAGATTGAAAACCTTTGAAATTTTGTTTCTTCAGTTGGAGAGCCTGAAACAGGAATATGAAGCCCAGCTTGAACATCTCCGGGAACAGTTAGCATCAGAACGACGAAAACATCAGGATGAGGGAACGGAACAACACATGCCAACAACACCTTATAAAGAGGTAAAGAGCCTGGCCCTGCATAAAATCACAAACACATCGTAAACAAAAAAATAAAACTTTACTACAAAACTGAACAAGAAGAAATTCACCAAATTCAAGGAATTTGCGTCGAAATTGATTGCATCAAATTCAAGGAATTTGTGTCGAAATTGATTACATCAAATTCAAGGAATTTGTGCTGAAATTGATTACATCAAATTCAATAGTGAATTAATAAAGATAAACATGTTTTCAAAGTAAGTGTAGCAAGCAATGCAGGCACCAATGTTTCTTTATGAATCTAGCAGGTTGATTCCAATACAGACGTTAGTTATCTTAGACTAAGTAATAGGTACATTGGATGTAGATACAGACGCTAGTTATCTTAGACTAAGTAATAGGTACATTGGATGTGGATACAGATGTTAGTTATCTTAGACTAAGTAATAGGTACATTGGATGTGGATACAGATGTTAGTTATCTTAGACTAAGTAATAGGTACATTGGATGTGGATACAGATGTTAGTTATCTTAGACTAAGTAATAGGTACATTGGATGTGGATACAGATGTTAGTTATCTTAGACTAAGTAATAGGTACATTGGATGTGGATACAGATGTTAGTTATCTTAGACTAAGTAATAGGTACATTGGATGTGGATACAGATGTTAGTTATCTTAGACTAAGTAATAGGTACATTGGATGTGGATACAGATGTTAGTTATCTTAGACTAAGTAATAGGTACATTGGATGTGGATACAGATGTTAGTTATCTTAGACTAAGTAATAGGTACATTGGATGTGGATACAGATGTTAGTTATCTTAGACTAAGTAATAGGTACATTGGATGTGGATACAGATGTTAGTTATCTTAGACTAAGTAATAGGTACATTGGATGTGGATACAGATGTTAGTTATCTTAGACTAAGTAATAGGTACATTGGATGTGGATACAGATGTTAGTTATCTTAGACTAAGTAATAGGTACATTGGATGTGGATACAGATGTTAGTTATCTTAGACTAAGTAATAGGTACATTGGATGTGGATACAGATGTTAGTTATCTTAGACTAAGTAATAGGTACATTGGATGTGGATACAGATGTTAGTTATCTTAGACTAAGTAATAGGTACATTGGATGTGGATACAGATGTTAGTTATCTTAGACTAAGTAATAGGTACATTGGATGTGGATACAGATGTTAGTTATCTTAGACTAAGTAATAGGTACATTGGATGTGGATACAGATGTTAGTTATCTTAGACTAAGTAATAGGTACATTGGATGTGGATACAGATGTTAGTTATCTTAGACTAAGTAATAGGTACATTGGATGTGGATACAGATGTTAGTTATCTTAGACTAAGTAATAGGTACATTGGATGTGGATACAGATGTTAGTTATCTTAGACTAAGTAATAGGTACATTGGATGTGGATACAGATGTTAGTTATCTTAGACTAAGTAATAGGTACATTGGATGTGGATACAGATGTTAGTTATCTTAGACTAAGTAATAGGTACATTGGATGTGGATACAGATGTTAGTTATCTTAGACTAAGTAATAGGTACATTGGATGTGGATACAGATGTTAGTTATCTTAGACTAAGTAATAGGTACATTGGATGTGGATACAGATGTTAGTTATCTTAGACTAAGTAATAGGTACATTGGATGTGGATACAGATGTTAGTTATCTTAGACTAAGTAATAGGTACATTGGATGTGGATACAGATGTTAGTTATCTTAGACTAAGTAATAGGTACATTGGATGTGGATACAGATGTTAGTTATCTTAGACTAAGTAATAGGTACATTGGATGTGGATACAGATGTTAGTTATCTTAGACTAAGTAATAGGTACATTGGATGTGGATACAGATGTTAGTTATCTTAGACTAAGTAATAGGTACATTGGATGTGGATACAGATGTTAGTTATCTTAGACTAAGTAATAGGTACATTGGATGTGGATACAGATGTTAGTTATCTTAGACTAAGTAATAGGTACATTGGATGTGGATACAGATGTTAGTTATCTTAGACTAAGTAATAGGTACATTGGATGTGGATACAGATGTTAGTTATCTTAGACTAAGTAATAGGTACATTGGATGTGGATACAGATGTTAGTTATCTTAGACTAAGTAATAGGTACATTGGATGTGGATACAGATGTTAGTTATCTTAGACTAAGTAATAGGTACATTGGATGTGGATACAGATGTTAGTTATCTTAGACTAAGTAATAGGTACATTGGATGTGGATACAGATGTTAGTTATCTTAGACTAAGTAATAGGTACATTGGATGTGGATACAGATGTTAGTTATCTTAGACTAAGTAATAGGTACATTGGATGTGGATACAGATGTTAGTTATCTTAGACTAAGTAATAGGTACATTGGATGTGGATACAGATGTTAGTTATCTTAGACTAAGTAATAGGTACATTGGATGTGGATACAGATGTTAGTTATCTTAGACTAAGTAATAGGTACATTGGATGTGGATACAGATGTTAGTTATCTTAGACTAAGTAATAGGTACATTGGATGTGGATACAGATGTTAGTTATCTTAGACTAAGTAATAGGTACATTGGATGTGGATACAGATGTTAGTTATCTTAGACTAAGTAATAGGTACATTGGATGTGGATACAGATGTTAGTTATCTTAGACTAAGTAATAGGTACATTGGATGTGGATACAGATGTTAGTTATCTTAGACTAAGTAATAGGTACATTGGATGTGGATACAGATGTTAGTTATCTTAGACTAAGTAATAGGTACATTGGATGTGGATACAGATGTTAGTTATCTTAGACTAAGTAATAGGTACATTGGATGTGGATACAGATGTTAGTTATCTTAGACTAAGTAATAGGTACATTGGATGTGGATACAGATGTTAGTTATCTTAGACTAAGTAATAGGTACATTGGATGTGGATACAGATGTTAGTTATCTTAGACTAAGTAATAGGTACATTGGATGTGGATACAGATGTTAGTTATCTTAGACTAAGTAATAGGTACATTGGATGTGGATACAGATGTTAGTTATCTTAGACTAAGTAATAGGTACATTGGATGTGGATACTTGTTTTTATGGAAATACATGCCTACTGGTGTAGGGTTAGGGTTAGGGTTCGGGTTAGGGTTAAGCAGATAAGTTTGGACACAAATCTTTATAATGAACTAGTTATGTGCTGATTAAGACATTCAGAGGTAAATCTTGGATGTGGATTGTTATGGCACAGAAATGTTTTAAGGATCACTGCTAATCCACAGAAATGTTTTAAGGATCACTGCTTATCCACAGAAATCTGTTAAATGCTACAAAATGAGCTTGGTAGTTGGTCTGTGAAACAGCAGTGTTACATTTTGTAATATCGGCATTCAAGCCAAGAATCAGAATATTTTTCTATATGATAAGTCTTTTCAGTTTTCCAGCCTTTTATGTTACTGATCTAAGCTCGTAAGAAACATTTTCAAGCTCCTCATTAACAAAGACATGTCGTTTCTTAGCAACAGGATTCAGTAAAGACACAGGATGTCTTGTGTAACTGGACATCACACGTATCAACAGGATCATACTGTTATCAATGTTATAGGGTTCAGTAAAATGCTCTGACACGATAATCCCAAATAGGATCAAAATGACCGTTTTCGTTTAAACGGTTCAACCGGTCTGACCACAGTTGTTCGTTTAACAAATAATGTCGGACCTAGTAATCTGATGAAGCTTTCACGCGAGCCTTGACAAAGCCTTACAAGGCCTGCATAAACATTTGCAGGTCCGCAAGTATTTATACCCAAAAATGTTAAATTTAAAAACTGCTGTTCATTTATAAACAAACAGTCCCCATGTCTCCTATCTAATTGTTATCATCCTGAATGCAAGAACTGATGTTTTTTCATTTCAATGAAACTTTGTTTTTTATTTCAATGAAACTTTCTGATAAAAGTACGAATGTAAATGGGGTGGGGGATGAGGGAGGGGACCTGCCTGTTGGCAGGTTCTGAAGCCAGAGTTTCAACATTCCAGCATCAGTATCTACCAAGGATACTTGTTGTTCTTACAAGACATTTATCATAGCAAAGTTTAAAGACTGATTTCCAGTTGAAATTGCCAACTTGACCATTTGTTTTAAACATTTAGATAGTAATGTTCAGTTTGAACCTCACCATTTATTTTAAACATTTAGATAGTAATGTTCAGTTTGAACCTCACCATTTATTTGAAACATTTAGATAGTAATGGTCAGTTTGAACTTGACCAGTCAGAGTAAATGGTAATATTTGGTTTCTGTTTAACCACCAGACCACTGACCAACTGCGCCAGGCCCTGGAAAGTGACCAGCAGGAGAAGCTTGACCATGTCATACAGTCCATAGAAGATGTGCACAGGAGAGAGATGGACACCTCTCACCAACAACATGTGGTCAGTTCTGTGATAAAAACAAACTTGAAACACTTACTAATAGATAAGCCTTTAAGATGGTAAGTTGGGTGGTCGGTTGGCGCAGTGGATCACACACTTTCCAAATAGGACCTGAAAAGGTATAGGGTTACCTGCCCTACCACGTGGGTTTTCTCCGGGTACTGCGGTTTCCTCCCACAATAAGACCTCTGCACGCTAACATCCGAGCCAACAAGACTGAAATTGAAATAACTTGTTTTATAATTGTTGTAAAAGAAATAAAGTTTATATTTATATAGGCCTTTAATAGTACCTCTTGGATCCTCATAGAGTTTGCAATGATCCTTTTGATCAGTTTCCTGTACCAGTGATAGGAAGGAAATGTTGGATTTCCAAACTGGCAGTAATACATAATAGTGGGCCATGATTTCTCATGTTGGGTTTCTTTAAGAGCCTCTCCTTTCATGTTGTAAGCTTTTGCTCTATGTCTTTGTCCATCATTCATGAACTGTTTTACATTCTAAACTTAAACTTTACTGAACCAATTGAGCTTAAATAAACATTTTAAATATTTGAATATTTTTTATCTAAAGTACATATTCCTGAAATATTCTTCAAAAATGTATTTCTAGGTAAAAGATGATGTTCTGTCAAACCTTGATTTTTTGGAACTCTGGATTTAATTTATTTCATTAAATTTATATATTTTTTTTTAAATAAATCTCTGATTCAATGTTAAATGTTGTGCCACAGGGTGACATTAACCTCCAAGTAAAGGCGATGCGTCTGACCCTGGAACAGATCTATACCAGCCAGTTAGAACTTGTGAGGGCAGATCTAGAAAACCAGCATGGCCAATCGCTCGACAAGCTACGGGAAACCCTCGCCAAGGAGCACAAGGAGGAAATGAACCGCCTTGAAGCTGATTGGGCGGCCCAGATGGCAGAACTTGAGGATGAACATGTGGACGAACTCCAGAGGTCACTTCTTGAGGAGGCTGTTGGTAAGTAATATGACCCTGACCCTGGCTTTTGTGTTTGACCCCTGCTTAGAGTGTTGTGTGTTTGTGTGCAGTTTCATTTAATATGAAACTTAATTACAAAAACATGAATTTGTTGTGTCGCAATAAATATTGCCAATTAAATTCTTTCAAAAGATAACTAAATCATTGTGTAGGTGTATTTGTGGTGAAGGTTGACTGCATTGGTTTGATATAATAAACAGCTATGAACTGATAATTGCTTGATAATCTGTTGTTGACAGAGTTTGTATTATAATGACATTGCATGAATGTGTTCCGTGTGATCAGTGTAGAACTGTATACAGGCATGTTTACAATACATTTTACAGGTTATTTGAAGGCAATACATAGGATTATCGGAAGGCTGGAAACTGAAATAATTGGCATTATAATGAGGATTCAGTTGTACCCAAGTATAAAGCCAAACTTTTCGTTTTTACCTTGCTTAATTACGGCAATATTTGTTCTTACAAATCTTATCATAAATCTCTTCTAATAATGCCAAACCCCTTTTTAATGAAAAATCCCTTTATATTGCCAAACCCCTTTATATTGCCAAATTTCATCTCGACAAATGATGACAGCTAGCATAAAGGGTTTGATATAACTGGTTTACATTGGAAGCATAAGCTATCTTTAATGTTATGTGTTTGAACCTTGAAGTCAACCAAGTATTCGTGCCTGTATACAGTGAAAATTTGCCTCTTCATCATTTCACAATGTAGCTTAGAATATTTTGACTTTGATTAGATTTTATTGTAGCACTATTATATTTGCATGTTATATCTAAAAAAAAAAAAAAAACATTTGAAATGTAAAGTTTATGGATATTGTTACATTTAAGTAGATGTATTACTGTAACATTAAAAAAAGTTCAAGTTAAAAGAAGTTGTAAAATTTCTTCAATGAATGGCAATTTTGAAATACATAGACACATTTTTTATATATGATAAGTTGTAGATCAGAATACCTGCATCAATAACGCTAAGATATTTCTCAATTATTGTGAATGATGGGATTAAATCTTCTTAAGGGAGATAACTCGATCACAAAACAAGGTATACAGTGCAAGATTATACATTAATAAGGATCAAAGATATGTATTGGATCAAAAAACCGGCTACATCAGAATATTGTTTGAATTTGAAAAAAGGAATCCTTTAGCAAGTCCTTAATGACATCAGACCAATAATACAAGTTAATGTAGAGTTTTCACTTCTGAACCAAAAAGTCAGTGAAATACTGTACTTACATTTTTATCTCTTTTTTATTGACTTATGTTTCTTTTTTGTTGACATTTATGTTGTTCAAAGCCATCTGATGATCTCTTTAAGTGTTCTACTGTAACTTACCTGTTACTGACTGAGTTGACTTGAGAGTTAGTTTAACATATCAAATATGCTTAAAAGTGGTTCAATCCCTGTCCCGTTTTTGTGTTCCCACATAACTACCATTGATATATCAAATCTTTTTAGCTCACCTGGTCCAAAGGACCAAGGTGAGCTTATGCCATACCGTGGCGTCCGTCGTCCGTCCGTCGTCCGTCGTCCGTCGTCCGTCGTCCGACCGTCAACAATTTCTTTAAACGACTTCTTCTTCTTAACCACTGATTGGAATTTTACTAAATTTGACTGGAAGCATCCTTAGGTGGTGGGGAATCAAAATTGTACAAATGGTATGGCTGACCCCCCAGGGGGCTGAGGGGCGGGGCAAAAAGGGGGCAATTTGGCTATATTGCTTTAAGCGACTTCTTCTTTGGAACTAAGAGATGGATATCAACCATATTTGCCTGGAAGCATCCCTAGGTGGTGGAGATTCAAAATTGTACAAATGGTTGGGCTGACCCCCCAGGGGGCTGAGGGGCGTGGCCAAAAAGGGGGCAATTTGGCTAGATTGCTATAAACGACTTCTTCTGTAGAACTATGCACTGGATATCAATCATATTTAATCAAAAGCATTCATGGGATGCAGGGATTCAAAATTGTACAAATGGTGTGGCTGACCCCCCAGGGGGCTGAGGGGCGGGGCCAAAAAGGGTTATTTGGCTATATTGCTTTAA